AACAAAAACGGGTTTCTTTATAGCAAGCCAACATTCTATAGTGTTTGACTTTGACTTTTGTTGATGGTCATTGCATAGGAGAACATAAGTAGAAATTGTCTTTGGTTAAACTTGAAAGGCAGTCTTGGGTTTGATGGAGTGATAGTCATTCTAGCTATTAGTACCTTTGTCCCATCATTGGTTCATGCCAATATGCGTGCTTCTAATCTCTGATCGACGATTATACTCAATCTCTGTCCTAGGCATTCTAAACGACTTAACCAACACATTGTATTCGTCCAAAACCTGTTTAATGTCATCAACCACCTCTAAATGTAGGGAAAGTTTACCAGTTTCGTCCCTACATACATGTAGAAATACATACATTAGTTTTGTAACAATTTGCAAAATACATTAACATTTCAATATTAACATAAGATATGTGTAAAACTATCTAAAATTATTACCTTATTGAATTAATACGATTACTAATCTCATGTTGAGTGTCATGGTGTACAATTGTGTGAACTTCGACGGAGCACCGTTAGTTGGTAGTAAGCTTCCTATCAAGCGGAAGTTTTGGCCATTTACGCAGTAGACTGGTGGCGCGCCACCAATATTCACTGTTCTATAACTCTCCTGCCCATCGAGGTAAAATAAAACATATTGTTAGCACCTAATGTTTTTCAAAAAGTGGTTTCGTCTTTTCCCTGGATAAACAAATAGACCATATAATTTTTTGGAGGGTTTTGTAACCATCGGTAATTTGATCTTTCCATGGCCACAACATAACGAATATTTAGTAGCTAGTACCATTAACCTTGGATTTCTCTAACCGTTCCGTGTACTAGAACAACACACCATAATGTATACATGAAAATCATTAGGGTCACCAAAATCAGCATATTTGATTGTAAAAAAGGAACTATTAGGATTATATTTAACAAACTATTTAAACACACTAAATACACGAGTGAAGATATAATTAATAATTGCATAAAGAGCTAACCAAAAGCATTGATGTCATCAAGATGGAATGACCCCATTCTCATGTATCCATGGTTGTCTTAGTAGCAAACTATATGACGTCCTTGCATCTATGACGTGACATAGCGTTTTTAAACTTAACTTTCCAACTGTTAGATCAAGTCGAATGATACCCAATGCCTTTTGTCCCCCCTTAATTAAATCCTTGAATCATTAGGCGACTTTGGGTAAGATCATCTATAGAGATATCAAGGTCTTTCAAAGCTCGCAGCGACAAGATATTGACAGTTGACCCTTGATCAATTAGAATCCTTTTGATTTTCTTCTCACATGCATAGCCCTCAACAAACAACAGGCGATTATGAGGTGTACCACCAAGCAGCAAATCTTCATCGCTGAATGTGATCTCAGCAGAATAATAGGCAGCCTTGTACATTTGGATTTCCTCGCTTTTGTCTTCCACATGGGTTGAACATCCTCCTGTTTCATCTAGCGCATCATTGGTGTTTATACATGAGGTAGATATGCTTACACTTTTCAAATCAAGCCTCTTTGGCATGTATTGAGCCAATGTCATAGGGGTCCGTGGTTTGTTAAGATGCTTCTTCATCTTCGTCTTGTAGATAGGGCCTTTGGACGAATCCTTCTCAACCCATTTCCTAGTCACTTGTCTTGGCGATCTTTCCACCTTCTTATGCTTCTTATGGGTAAGAGTTACCCAATCACTCATAGAGTTATCATTAACTTGTTGCGACTTTGCTTGAGTAGCATGTTTAACGCCGAACGGGAGTGGACGCTTTTGTTCTCCTCCTCTCCTTTTCCCAGAATCTTCCTCGAGAAGTGGAGCACACCTTCTAAATGAATATCGTAACTTGATTTGTACTTGTAGTAGCATCGACAAGTTCTATCTTTCCACTTCGAGCTAATGCCATGACTCTATCCTTGAAAACAAAGCACTTTTCAATAGGATGACTAATAAGGCGGTGATACTTGCAATAATTAGGGTCTTCAACTTTAGAAACTTCCTCGGGATGCTTCATTTCTGGCAGCTCAATCAGCTTTAGCTTAAGCAACTCATCAAATATAGGGGAGACATCCGACTCTAGGAATGGATATTGCTTTTCTTGTCTCTCCTCTATAGTCATTATCCTGCCTCCGCTTGGCGGACCGTAAGATGGCCTTGGCTTTGGGGCTTCAGCTGTCTTAGTGAAAACTTTAATAGCTCCAGCTTTGACATTCATCGTTTCTCGTTTTTCTTGCTTTGAAAAGGTTTGCCCCCTTTCTTAAAATCTTGATTTTCGTTATCCTTCGAAGAGCATGGCACATTGAACGCACTCAATCTACCACCAGCTGCAATATTTAGTTCCATGTCATGAGCTCGGTTAGATAGTTCCACGAATGTTTTAGGCTTAATCCCTTACAAGATGTAAGAAAGCTCAAATTGCATTCCTTGAATACACATGTCAATAGCAGCACACTGTGATATCCTTTCTTGACAATTTAAGTATGAGTTTCTCCACCTTTCGATGTATTCAACAGAAGGCTCTCCTTTCCATTGGCGGGTAGTGGTAAGTTCCAAGAAGTTGACAGTTCTTGTTGTGCTATAGAAACGATTCAGAAACGCGCTCCATGTCGTGCCAGCTGTCAATACAACCTGGTTCAAGATCAGTATACCAGTCAAAAGGTGTTCCCTTCAATGAGCGAACAAATTGCTTCACTAGGTAGTCCCCATATGTCCCAGCTTCATTGCAAGTTTCCACGAAATGGGCTACGTGTTGTCGAGGACTCCCCTTCCCATCAAACTGTTGGAATTTAGGTGGCTGATATCCAGGCGGCATCTTTAGCTCCTCGATCATTTGAGTATTAGGCTTGGCATATGTATAAGAGCGTTGTCCTACCTCGAGCTTCCCTTTGATAGCTCCCATGATGTAGTCATTTAGTTGCTCCACCGGAATCGTGCCCCCGAAAATTAGAACGCTCTTCTCAGCAGGTGGTGGGCGGGATACTGCCTCATCCATCCCTGCAGCGGGCCTATCGCCATGGGGTGGTAACTCCACATCAACCTCTTCCACTTGAGTTTGGGACTATTTCCTAGAAGCTCGACTCGTTTCGCCATGACGCCGTTCCTCATGCTCTCTACTTTTTCAGTTAGGTCATCTATCCTCCTATCTTGGTTATGAAGAAGCGCCGTCACACCCTCGAGAGCTTTGGTGATGTTTGCTAGTTGTTTCTCCACCGAAGCTGCGTTGGTTTCCATGTCGAGCATGACTGTGTAGGCACGAGTCCATTCCGGTGTTGTGGGTGACGAGCTTCCACTGCTAGCAGTTCCTCTCAAAGGAGTAAGATAAGGACTTCCACTTCCAGTAGCTTTATTTGAGGGAGTAGGAATCTTGCCACCAACAGTCCCCGTTGTAGAAGATAAACCCTTATCATGTGTAGCTTTCCTTGAAGCGGTAGAGTTGTTTTCTATCATTCAGATGATGTTACGCACCATGCTATGAGTTTCAGCCACTTGCACTCCCAGGTTCCTTGCTCGACTCCGAGTCATTGCACCTTGCATCTTGCGACTATCATCGAAACTGGCCATGAACGATGCCTTGGAGCGGGTAGCTTGAGCGTAAGTCATCTTGGACGTGGGAATTCTTGATGCCATTTAGATCCTTGTGAAGAAATGAGAGGTAGAGATGTCCCACTGGGCGTGCCAAAATCTGTGAACAAGAAAAAGTTGAACAAAATATATATTTAAATTTCAAAATTGCGCGAGTACAAAATCTCTATCAAGGAATCCTCTAATTCTCCACTTGGCTTGCTTGACTTGAAAATGTAGATGAAGGGCCTCCGGAATGTGGCTTGTTCTTTAATGAAAGGGCTTTGTTGCTTAATCTTCGTTGAAGGGCATCCGGTCTTTAATTGGCTTGATCTTCAGTCCACTTAGCTTAGCTTAAACACTTGAATATTTGATCTTCAATCCTCTAGCTTGATTTGATCTTCAACCCTTTAGCTTGATTTGATCTTCAATCTAGAGCTTCTCTTCAATTCTTCAAGTGTGTTCTTTGGAATGAATGAAGAGCTCTATTTATAGGGGGAATATGGAAGACTTCCACTGGAGGCCAAACTCTTCAATATTATCAATTAATATTTTAGGATAATATAAATATTTATCCACAATGTATCTAGCCACCATTGCATCCAGGTTCATAACCTTATCACATATTCAAATTAAATAATTAATTAATTTAAATACATGAATATCTTATCACATATTCAAATTAAATGATTAATTTAAATATTTTCTTGTTGGGCTAAATATGGATCAGTCCATCCTTATAATCTGAGTGCACTAGTCTTTAATTTATATTTAATTCGGACAATTGGACTAATTTAATTAATCCAAATAAATCAATAATTAATCTAATTTCATCAAACGAAGCCCAAAACATATGAACCAGCCTATTTGTCGGCTTCAAATTTTCTGTGTCTACAATACCTGAAAGGGATTATCAAGAAAACATTCAAAAAGAACCTGTTAGCAATTAATGTTAAGTATAAACCACCTAGCCTCGTAAACTAAGTATAAGTATAGATTAAAAAAAAATGTTTATTTGACATCCACATATAACACATATGATCATAGAGAACTAAGTCAAGTAATCAATAGAATATAGATATCTAGCCACACACACACACACACACACACACATATATATATATATATATATATATATATATATATATATATATATATAAGTATATATACATGTATATACATAACTCAAACTCATGCTTACACAAATACCAAATACTTACTAAGTACATATTTGCGTAAATATAATTAAATGAGAATGAGTAATTATAGGTAGTTCATAATAAATAGCATAAGGAGATAAGTATGTTACTAGTCTATACCACCATGTTAAGTAAACATGAATGATAAAACAATCACCTCATTCTACTTGTATTCATATGACCATATAAGCAATAAAGGTAGATGGTTTCTCAAGTAGATATGTAATTTAAATTAATACTCTCACTCTCGAGAAAACATAGTATCGTAATAATAGTAATACTGGAGGAGCTCATATCAGTTTCATCATAAAAGTGGGGAGGTAGGAACTTCACCAAGTGTGAAAGATCCTATCCGGGCTCATTAACTCTCTACTGGCCTAATCTCAGCTCTCCCACTTATCTCGTATTTTGGAAGCAGGTCTGGTACCCCTTTAGTGTGCACATCCCCTAACTGAGATCCCAAGCCCAGCGAGTAGTATCCAACCTAGTAGCCCAAGATTTTTCTACCAAGCTACTTCAATCTCATAATTGTCCAGTATTTTTCTATCGGACTTTCTCATCATCATATCGTTCATTTGCTTCTGCCGAAGGGACATGGTCCAACCAGGATCCTTCAAAATGTAGGTTCCTTCACATTAAAATATATATATATATATATATATATATATATATATATATATATATATATATATATATATATATAACGGTGGCATAACCTTTAAAAATCATTCTTTTCTACACATAGAATTATGATATCATATATATATGCCTTTCGATGAGGTTATACGAGTAAACATATATAAATATATGTATATAGACTTATAAAATAAATTAGAGGGTAAGTATAGGGTTTTCTAAAGTGAATGCATAAATAAGCATAATTGCAAGTTTAGACAACTTAGACTTGAGTGTAGTTGATAGAGGAATAATAGTTCAAGCATATATTTTCATAAAATCAAGTTATCACACACTTCATTGTAATCTTGGTAATACATGAATAATATACTTAGGCAAAACTCTCCTCATTTTAGAATATAACGCCAAAGTCATAGCACACTTAGTATTAACAGTGAGTATATTTCAAAGTCATGCTCAAATAAATCATATTTTATGCTTGGAGTTTAGATAGACTATTGTTCATGTAATAATTAAGGAACTTCCACTTAAACAACATCAAGATCCTGAGCCTCACGAGCCACACGGACCCACGAGTCCCCGAACCGTAAGTGGGACCACATTAACAGAGCCACAGTGGCCCTATACAGTAGTCCGTAATGCCACAGGGTTATGTGACAGGACTAGGCAGTCCTGTCACTTGGCCCTCGCGTAGTTACAGCCTGGAGTGGCAGGACTCAAAGAGTCCGCCACTCCAGTCCCTTTTTCTCGCTCACAGGACTACGCCAACAGGACTAGATAGTCCTGTGGCGGAGTCCTGCTGCCTTCACTAGTCTACGGACAACAGAGCTCTAGCCTCTGCGATCAAACTCAACCATCATATGGTCATACCCACAAAATCATAAAACATTGATATATCAAATACATCATTTCAAGCATCAAACATCATACATTTTTATCATTTTATGCATCCAATATATATGTATTCACACAACACTTATTTCACACATTTTAGGGCAAAAATAATAGGTTTTAGCTTCCATGGCTTATACCTTGAGATTGCTAGTTCCTAGTAGGAATACCTCCTCCTTCTTCAACTATGGCCACTTCCTTCACCTCCTAATAACTGCAAAGTAACATATAGAACATATACATCATATACAAGCATATACATACACAGTGAAATAAAATGGAAAAGGAAGAAGGAGATGAAAATATGGAATGGATGAAGGAGAATGAGGAAAATAGAAATGATCACTACCACTTCTTCTTGATGGTGTCTCCTGAGTGTTGTCTTGAGAGGAAGAGCAAGGGAGGGATTGCATCAGATAATAGAATAGTGCCTATTTATAGGCTCAAAACCCTAGGTCACTATTTGGAAGGGAATGAATGGTCAAGAAGGGCATTTGGGTCATTTGAGACTTCAACTTCTAGACTTAGGATTTTAGTTCAGAAATTGGATCAAGTTCAGATGTAAATGCGATATAAATTTTTAGAAAGAGATTGGGTTCATTTTGAAACCAAATTTTGAGTTAGAACTAGTTTATCAGTTTCTCAAGTTCGTCTCAAATAGACTTTTGGGTCAATATTTTTAATAAATAAATATATACTTTAAATAAGGTTTTCAAAATAATAATAATCATATAATTATTTCATATTTAATCATTTGAAATTAGGAATTTAAAATAGAATAATTTATATAATTTTTTTTTAATGCTACCGACTCTATTACAATGTAGTATATGTTCATAACTACTTTCTCAACCTACTGAAACACAAAGAGCCAATAACGCCTCCACTAAGGCGAGAACTCACAACCTCCCATATGAGAGTCCAACCCGGGTGCCATCTGAGCACAAGGTGCCTGGCAATAATTTATGTAATTGATAAAACTATCGTAAGAATAAAATGATAAAAATAATTCCATTTTGAATTTTTTTTTATAAAGAAAGAGTTTTGGAGAAAATATTTTTGGGACTTACATTTTCAACCCTGCAAACTCATTGATAAAAGATTCCATTCTAGCATATCTCAACAAATGATAAACAAGAAATCTCACTCAAAAGCAATCAACCCTCAATTTCTCAAGGTTTTTCAAGAAGTTTTCCCTCGAAACAACTCACAATTTTTCTTTGAACATTCAACATTCAACTCACACAACACTTCAACAAGATCTAACAAGTAACATTCAATATCAAAATTCAAAACTTTATCTCCTTTTTCCTCTCTTTTTCTTTCGAATTTCCTCCATGTTTTCTCTTCTCTTCTTTTTTTTTTTTTTTTTTTTTTTTTTTTTTTTTTTTTTTCAATCAAAACCTCCTTCAAGACATGTGATTCACAAATAATCAATCAAATTTCTACCAATAAGAGTCATGACAATCAATCAATACATGTTAAACACAATTTCAAAGTCAACAATTTCACAATTTTTTTTTCACAATTTCACAATTTCACAATTTCACAATACATGTTCAACAATTTAACAATTTCACAATACATGTTCAACAATTTCACAATTCTACTCAAAAATTCAAAAATTCCCAATTTGTATGCACTTGAAAATCAAAATATAGCTTCCAAGCATGTTAAACTCAAATTGATTCCATAACAAGTCTATACTAACATGCAATTGAAAAATTCCATCATCAATTCATTCATGCAATGCCATATCATCAAACCCAATTTCAAAAATTCCCAATTCAAGTTAGGGTTCTTCATGGCATATCAAATTCAATGATACAAGACATTATTCACAAATTCCAACCATATATTTGTTCTACAAACATCAAGGAAGCATTATATATAAACAAAATTGAAAAGCATCCATAAAAACACAATCTATCAACATTGAAGTTCTAGAGAGAGAAAGCTTGAAAAAGAGTATTAAAATGGATATTGGAGAATTTTTACCTCAAGATGATGAAGATAAACAAGTGTTTGAGCCAAGAAATCAACAAGAAAGTGAAAAGAATTGAGTTGGAGTAACCTTGCGTGGGAGGGGATTATTTTCGTGATGTAGGAGAAGTGAAGAAGAAGATGGGGTTTTAAATAGAAGCTTTTTCCTCACTGCCCAGTACTCTAGCCATGATCGTGATTCACATTGTGAGCAAAGATTCTCCAGCCACGATCGTGGCTGCCTAGTGGCAAAACTTTGGACAACTCCCACGATCGCTATCATGCTCGTGGCAGCAGCGTGGTAAAACTTCTGAGAGCTCCCACAATAGCTGTCACGATCGTGAATTCATCGTGAGCAGAACTTCCCCAACTACGATCGTGGTCACCTGCTGTAACACCCCGTGTTACGGCCTTCAATTCCGGGTTAATTATTTAATTAATTCCGTTAATAATAATTAAATATGATTTAATTATGTTAGGTTTACCTTTAATTAATTAGTAAGGTCCACCCTGAACCGTGGACCCTTGCCCGAATAAGAGTCTTAAGCCTGTTAGGAATAAAAGAAGTAGGCCTTTTACTATTCAGATTATGATTAGGATCCTCTTTAATTAATATGGCCCACTATGGACCATGGACCCTTATCCCTAAAGTAAGCCTTAGCCCTATAAGGAATAGAATTAGTAAACCCATACCATTCAGGCCCTAACTAGGAGTCTTAAATATATAAATAGGGAACTTAGGAGGCACCCAGAATCCCGACCACAATAATCTCTCACCACCCAAAGAGTTCCAAGAATCCCCTTAGGAGAAATCAAGAAATCAAGAAAGCTTAAAGAAAGATCCTTCATAGCCAAGGAATTAATTAAGGCTAAGAGGTAACCCATGTCTCAACAAAACCTATTTTCATAGCTATGATTCCCCCTTAGGGTTTCCCCCACATTATTGTGAATGGCGAGATCTGGTGATTATTATTGATGCTTGATGTGATGATCCCATGAGGGATCTTGATAATCTTGATATTGGGAGATTCTTGATAATTATGGTGCTCTTGATGATTATATGGAATTCTTGATGATTAGGTGTTGTTCTTGATGATTGTGTGATGCTCTTGATGTTTATGTGTTATTCTTACCGAATCTTGCAATTAGAAGACGAATCGTATTCTTGTTGATATAAAAGTGATTAGAACCCTAGGTTGTATCGTATGATATTATTCTTGGATTATCGGGTGGGGAAATCGCATGTTTGGGTGTTGATTATGTTTAGAAAAGCATGATAGGTTATGTGCCGTTCGTTTCTTGTATTTGATCCGTTAATTGTCTACGTGTTGTCGTTAATTGCGTTGTAAAGTGTCTAAGCATGGTTTCGGGTTCCACGACGGTTCCCGGGGCGTGAATTGTGTGATGAGAGTCAGTGGGGGGTAGGGGACCCGCCACCTACCCACGGCCGGAAAGTATATCTCCGGCAGCGGGCAGCCGGCGGGCGGGCAGCTACCCGCCGGCAACCCGCTGCCCGGAACAGTAAAGTCCGGCGGGCAGCCGGCGGGTGGCCCCCACCCACCGGCTACCCGCTGGAAATTATCCCTCTTTGGGACCCCGGCTTCCCCGTTTGATGTTCCCCCGTTCCCCGTGGTGTCCCAACGGACTCCGTTTATCGTGCCTATGTCTAGTTTGATGTTTCGGGTACCGTTCGTAGGTTTATGAGTCTATTATATTGCATGCTAGTCGAATTGGTATCCCATTGACCTAGGTGGAAGGAGTATGAACCCCTTAGGACTATTCTTAGTATGTGATGGATCACGCATAGGTTTTGTTATGCGCTTTCTCCCCCTTCCCAATGTGTAATATGGGTTGCATGTGCTTGCTATGTGTTATGTGTGTGTGTTACCCCAATTCGGTTGCGATCGGATTGGTTATCCTGAGCTGCGGTTCAGAAGCTGGCTGCGGTCAGATTGATACTCTTGGGCTGCGGTCCACCGTTTGGTTGCGATCAAACGTTTCTATACGAGCTGCGGTTCGTCCTTTTTCCTGGCTGCGGTCAGATGACATTCTCTTGGGCTGCGGTCCACTGTTTGGTTGCGATCAAACACTATGATGAGCTGCGGTTCATCGGTCGGTTGCGATCGACCCCTCCGTGTTGCGATACGGGGCAGGGTGCTGCGGGGCCGTGTCAGAGCTATATGCGCTGACCCTCATGTATGGGCATGCGATTGGTCCTGTGGCGCCAACAAAGTGTGCTATGTGTTGTGATATGGATGAGTTGTGATTATGAGTGTCTTGGGGGAATGTGACTGTGGGATTTATGTTGGGGATTGTTTATGTTGGGTTGTGATTATTGTTATGCTTTGCCTTATCTGCCTTACCTGTTGTGAACTGCATATGCTCGTTATAACTGTTGCTTGTGTCTGGCCTTATCTGTCGAGTCATTCCCGGTTTTAAAGCTAGAGTTCGTAGGATATATCTTCATGCTCAAAATGGTTTTCGTATATCTATATATATCTCTATATGTATTGTATTTCAACGCGTTGGAGTGGGTTACCAGCATCTCTCGCTGAACAGATATATTTGGCTTTCAGGCACAGAAGATTAAGTCACTGGAGCGCGCTAGAACTTGGAGTGTAGAAGTAGATAGTTTCCCTTTCGGCCTGCGTGCCACGTTTATGAAATCACACTTTGAGGATATTAGTTAGTTAGCCTGTGCACTTGGGTTCTCTAGCCCAGGTGTGGCATAGCACCCCGAACGCTTGTATTATACCTTGGGATTTAATAAGATTCTACCTTTATTATAAGTTTTAAAAAGTCTTGAAAATCTGGGGTGTTACAGTTGGTATCAGAGCCTAAGTTTGACCCTAGGATAAGACTCTTAAGACCGGACTTTAGGGCACTAGGCTTGAACTCTAGGTACTTAGGAACATAGGATTCAGGAATCTTAGGACGCGCAGTGAGATTGTGAAACCTACACATGACCCCCTCACTTCATCCCTCTCTAACTTAAATGAACCTCCCCCTACGCTTACCACACCAGGTAAGGGTGCGAATAGATAAGTTTACTTCCACAACTGGGTAACGTACACTTACCCGATAAATCGCCTCGTCCTAACTCCCGTCAAAAAGACTTGACAAGGACCGTGACCAAAGAAAAGGTAGATTGGATGACTACTAAGAAGAAGCGGTGAAAAGACGTTGCATCAAGACGTCAGGACTGCTAAAAGGGACGGACTGCAATACTCACCGACCCAGGGTTAACCACGATAACCCCCGATTAAGACAAATGGCATGCACCTTCCGACAAGTTGCTTTATCTCGGCAAACCCGGGTTGCGGCTACAACAAACAGGAAGGAGAACTAGGACACCGATTAAAGTAGCGATTGAACGACACCATTAGTCGAATCCTTGGGTGCAAGGTAAGTATATCGCGACACCTTGCGACCCCACCACCCCAGTTTAAAATATCGTCCGCCCTGAAACCCCAGCATCTTGATACCCCTATTTGTTGAAAACTCCCACCCCGAATCCTTAATTACCTTAAAAGCAAATTCACAACCGTCAGGACCTTGCTCACCCTTTGTTGCGCCTAACCCAAACCCTCGGAAACCCTAAATTGTTATGAGCATTGGAATCATCGCCCTTACTCTAAGTTCATATCCCCACTCCGTAGAGCAGCATAAAGCCCTTACCCTGCCCAGGGGCGTGAAGAACCGACATTCATTGATTCAATATTGAAATAAGTTGTTAGATAGGAATCGGCGAAGTAGGTGGAAGT